AGTTACTCATGTCCTGCTCCTGAGCTAATTCTAGGGAGCCAGCTACAATGGACAGATGTATATTTATTATATCTGAAGCAGAACGCTATGAAGATTTGATATCAAGTTATCTGATTGCGTGTTCTAACTACCAACTTATCTTTTGATTGATTAGTTACTACCTGATTTTGGGCAAGTTGCTTCTTTGTACCTCAATTGTCTCCTCTCTAAAATGAGATCATGATAGTGACTTCTTGTGAAGATATTATACAGTTTAAATTAGATGTCCATGTGGTTAGAGCAGATTCTGGCACACAGGAAGTACTTAGCTCTCATTATTATTTAAATAATAATCAGAGTAACTTACATAGAAAAGTCTAACAGTCAGTAGATCCAATTTCTTTATTTAAAGTAGAGGTGTCCAAACTTTTGGTGTCCCTGAGCCACATTGGAAGAAGTTATCTTGGGCCATTAAACACGTTGTACTATGTAATCACAAAAAAATCTCATAATGTTAGAAGTAAATTTATGATTTTGTGTTGGGCTGCATTCATAGTCATCCTGGGCCTCATGCGGCCTGAGGGCCGTGGGTTGGACACCAAAGTGCACAAAGAAAGGGTGGCCAAGATGAATCATATTCCCGCATTTATGGGCAAGTTAATATGAAGGCTCATAACAATTAAATTTGGTTTGAGAACTGGCTCTAATAGGCTTCTCTGTAGAAATTCTCCCTGAATCACCTCATGAGAAAGAGATTGCATATCCACTGGGAAGAAATGGTCCATACAACATAGATTTCCTATTTATCTTTCAAAATGTAAATGATTTCCTTTTGAACACAGCTCTGTAAGCCAGTACACACTTGCATGGCTGTATCATATTAATTTCTGGGCTTCTCTGAATTTGAACTAACTTTTCTAAACCTTGGTGCAGTGTTTTAACCAAGCTTCTTCTCTGCAACACAAATCGCCTTCACCACCATGAGATCAGAGAGAGAAGAAAAAGCAGCGTGCATGGCCCCACAGGGAACACTTCTCAAACATTAAGGGGCCGACTTTTTCACTAATTGGCTAATTCATTTTTTGTCCTTTGACTTCTTATGTCATGAGATCAAATCCATGGAAAGTATATTAGATTGACTCATCAAGGAGTATGGAGTGTTCTTGTTCCTTTATCTTTTTCATATAAATTAATAATGAATGTCCAGCTACCCAAATTACAGCCCACTCAAGGCTATTTTCACCACGCTGAGTTATTGTAGTAGTACGTCTAGTTAAATTGGAAATTGGAAAATTTTGCTGTTAAGGGGATTTTCAGGCACCGTTAATAATTCAGCCACCTGTACCTCTGGGCAAAATAAATAGATTGCTGACTGCTTATCAGCAGAGTCACTGCCAATTAAATTATTTGAAACTTTAAATGCAACTCCCCTCAAAAAATCTTGGAATTATCTGTAAGAAAGGGAGGTGTTCAGGGCATGGCTGCAGCATTATTTCATTACTGCATGTGCATTTTCTTCTTAAAGACTTATCTTTGTAAGTTTGGTAATTAAGTTTTTTTAAGAAGGAAAAAATAGGGGAAGAACATTAATTACTATGATTATTTCCCTCCATCTCCAAATCCTGCAGAAATTCTAGAACCAGATATTAGATAAGAAGGGATTCTCTTCTTTATTGTTGTTCAGTTACAGTTGTCCCATTTTCCCCCCATTACTCTCCCCTGCCCTACCCACCCCTACCTCCAATATCCAATCCTCCCCCAACCCCATTGTTTTTGTCCATGTGTCCTTTATACATGTTCTTTGATGTCCCTTCCCCTTCTTTCTCCCATTATCCTCCTCTCCCCTCCCCTCTGGTTATTCTCAGTTTGTTCTTTATTTCCATGTCTCTGGTTCTATTTGGCTCACTTGTTTGTTTTGTTGATTAGGTTCCGCTTACAAGTGAGATCATATGGTATTTGTCTTTCACCACCTGGCTAATTTCACTCAGCATAATGCTTTCCAGTTCCATCCATGCTGTTGTGAAGGGTAGGAGCTCCTTCTTTCTTTCTGCTGTGTAGTATTCCATTGTGTGAATGTACCACAGTTTTTTGACCCACTCGTTTACTGATAGACATTTAGGCTGTTTCCAGCACTTGGCTATTGTAAATTGTGCTACTATGAACACTGGGGTGAATAGGTTGTTTTGAATTTATGTTTCAGGAATGTTAGGGTATAATCCCAGCAGTGGAATTGCTGGGTCAAATGACAGTTCCATTTTTAGTTTCTTGAGGAAATTCCATACTGTTTTCCACAGTGGCTGCACCAGTCTGCAATTCCACCAACAGTGCACTAGGGTCCCCTTTTCTCCACATCCTCACCAGCACTTGTTGTTTGTTGATTTGTTTATGATGGCCATTCTGACTGGTGTGAAGTGGTATCTCATTGTGGTTTTAATTTTCATCTCTGTGATGGTTAGTGATGTTGAGCATCCTTTCATATGTCTCTGGTCTCTTTGTATGTCCTCCTTGGAGAAGTGTCTGTTCAAATCCTTTGCCCATTTTTTTATTGAATTGTTTGCCTTCCTGGAGTGGAGTCATGTGAGTTCTTTATATATTTTGGAGCTCAAACCATAAGGGATTCTCTTCCAAGCATTAAGCACAGCTAATTATCTCAGATATATGTTTACCAAGAATATCAAGAAACCATGTTAATGGTCAGTATTGAACTTAACCAACTAACTGCTTTTCGTTTGTTTTTCAAGCACCTATTTTATGAGAGGCACTGTTCTGATCAGCTGGGATTCATAAATGAATACAACTCTCAACGATCTCTGCCTTTAAAGATGGGATTCCGCTGCAGGAAGCAGGGGTGGGGAGGGGCAGGGAAACGGACAATAAACGATACACTTAACAAATAGTTCTTTTGGTATGTTATAAAGTGATACATTCTATGGGGAAAGGAGATTGGGGAAAAATGAATCAGAGTTGGGAAGAGGTTGCTGCTTAGGGAGGTTTGGGGTGGAATGCAGTGTCACAGAAATGGTGCCCAACCTACCCTGGCGAGGAGGTGGCAGAGTGGGGAGAGTGAACCTCTATATCTGTTTTCAGCACGGAAGATCTGTGTAGGTGTTAAATGTGTACCTCATTCTCGCCTTCTCCCACCCGTCCAAAGGCAATCCCTAGCCCCTTCTCTCGGTGTTGGAGATGAAATAAAGCATAACAAGATACTGCCCAGGTTTTCAGACCCTATGAGATCTTGTCTAATTTAAGCTCCTGTGGGTAGCATATTTCCCAGCAGCTGCCCCAATTCACAGTGGATGGAAGAAGAAAGCATTGGATGAGATATGCCGTTCAATTCAATAAGCACTTATTAGTACCTTTCATTTGGCTACATCGGCTTTATTCAATTTAAGTAAAAGGAAAGATGCAGAAGCCCTTGTGAAGCCTTCAACTGTGTTCGAAGAGAATCCACAGACAAATAAATAGCTGTAAAAACCTATAAGGCTATGCTGAGCTAATGTTGTGTATACACACACGTGTGGAAGAGAAACATCACTGTAACCTGAACTTAGGCTGGGTCCTTCTGGAAATGTGAGACCAATGTTAGGCCTTAGTAAGCTTGCGTGTGGTGATGATGGAAGTAGAGGCCACTGAGGAAGGGGGACAAGAGCATTCCATGAGGACGCAGAAGCAGAAAGCTCCTGGGGTAGTTAAGGAGAGAAGTCTGGCCCAAGGACATCAAGATTGGGAGCGGTTCAGGGGGGTCCAACCTTTTGGCATCTCTGGGCCATACTGGCAGAAGAACACATCAAATACATTGTGACACGTAATCACACACACACACAAAAAACTCAGAATGTTTTAGGTAATTTTACAATTTTGTGTTGGGCCGCATTCATAGCCATGGCGGGCCGCAGGTTGGACACCGCTGGATATCCCCACACTCCGAAGTCTCGGACGCACCTAGGGGGCGCATATTAGACGGACCGTTGTAGTGAGACCCAGAGCTGCACCGGAGGGCGGCCCTAACAGAAGTGATTCCATTTCCATTCCTTATCACCTTAGAGAATAAATGGAGACTAAAGGTAAGATCTCCAAAAAGCAAAAAGGCACCTTCGTTTCTTCAACTACATGGATATATCCTATTTGTCTAAAACTATGGCTTCACTTTTTACTGTCATTGTAATCATAGACTTTGGACTTCAGAAAGGAGAAAGTTTAAATACGGGGATTGAGCTGGAAGAGAACGAAACAAAAAGAGAAAACTTAGAAGGAGGCACGCCCAGGATACCCGTTTACACTTCCCCAGGCCGCCGGGGTGCTCAGCACGAGAAGGCACTTTTGCTCCCCTCGGCAACCCCGTGAGGCTGGTCAACAATCTGCGGGGCGCGAAGGTCAAGTCCCAGTAGCTGGCTCTGCCCACGTGTAAACTGAGCTTGGAGAAGGAGTCGGGTGGGTCTTGAGGTCGGCGAGCTTTCTCGGACTCTCTCCTCTGGCTCCCTTGCCCTTGTCTAGACGCCCCACCCCACCTCACTCCCAGGTTTTTGACACACTCTTCCCAATCACGGTCCCCAAAAGCACGCCCGCCGCGGCGCCGGCTCCCCTCGCTGCGGCCGCTAAGACCTGGAGAAGTGGAATTTCATTTGGAAACCGCGGTGCTGCGCCGGGGCCAGCGCTGGGCATGCTCAGTAGCCGCGGCCCCCTGGGTGCTGCTCGCGCCGCACTGGCCGCGGGTCCCCGGCTCCCGGGCTGGCGCGGGAGTCCCCGCCCTCTCCGCCGCCGCTGCGGGGCTTCCCGAAGGCCGGGCTTTAGCCCCCTCCCCGCTGCTCCGCCCCACTCACCGGCTGCCTCCCATTCCTCTTCCTCTCCCCTCTGTTAAGGAGGAGCAGCTGGCGCGGGTTTCTGCCGGCGCTACGGACCGTTTTGCAAACCCCAGCCTAGGACCTGCGAATGAATCCCGGAGCCCAGAGACCTTTTGGCGGTGGCTCGTTCTGAGAACACTTTTCCTGAAGTGAGGTCGTGGTGGAGTTTCTCCTCCACTTCTCAATGCAAACACTATGCGGAGAGCAATCGGCTTCCCTGCGCTGTGCCTGCTTCTTAATCTTCAAGCTGCAGGTAAGGGGTTGCCAGGCAGAGCTGAAGCTGGGGATGAGGTGGGGAGGAAACTGCACCTGCTTAAGGACTCTAGGAAAACCTCGCCTCTCAAAGAAAGCCTCCGAGAGGCTAAGCAGGACAGTACTAGCTGGGGAAGGGTGAGGGAGTCATGCACCTGTTGGAAGACAGGGGCCGAAAACTTAACGCTAAAACCAGCCCTTGATTTTTCCTTACCTCGGACGAGTAATAGTGAACATTTGCAACATGAATACAGATTTGATTCCCTTTCCACTCCCCTCCATCTAGACTTACTGTTCCTCTTTCTGGGCTATGCACCTGACTGCCAATTTTTCAGGAGAAAGACAAGCCATCCTATCCTGCTGGAGTAACCTTTTCTACTGCAGCGGCGACATCTGTAAGGTTTCTTGGTTCTTACAGAGCTCAGAGGGATGCATTGGCTGTAACCTGAGGGACCACATCTCCGCCCCAAGATCAAAATACAGGGTTCACATTAAGGATGCCGCTCCAGGCTCCTTTGGCCCCTGCTCTTGTCACTCGAATTTTCTAAACCAATAAGAGGAAAGACAGGTTTAAAATAGGACTCTGTCTTCTCTTTCAGCATCCTGCTCAGCGTCCGAGGACACTGAACAAAAACCCAATCACAGCTTCAAAGCTGACAACCCCCAGGGTAGGCACTGTCTCTGGGAAAGGTTTGATGAGGTCTAGCCAAGAGTCACAATGAGACTGCTCCTAAATATAAAATAAATGCATTTGATATCAGGGTCAATATCAGGTTTCCTATGGAAGCAAACCTTCGAAAGTACCTGGGGAATTTATATGCAATGTCACTATGGACCCTGCTTTTTGGATAGACGCAAGCTCTTTGTAATGCAAGGACTTGCTGGACTGAATCCTTTATTGTTTTTACAGGCACATGAGCCAAAATAGAATACGGCAGAGAGATTTTAGGAACCCCACTGCGACAGCAGTTGTCCATGCAGTAATCCTGTAGCAACCAGAGACTAGGTGTTTTCCCTGAGTTTGCTTCTCATCCAATCACACACAGTCATTCATTCCTTCAACTACCATTTAATGAGTATGTACTATGTTCTAGGGGTAATGAATGAGAATAATGGTTGTGAAATTACTGTTCTTGTATGTTTTAAAAAGAGTGGGAGAGTCTTTTTCTATGTGTGCAATAATGAGGAGGAAATATAGTACTTTCTTATTTCTAGTTAATGCTGTTTTAATGTATTGTGAAGCCCTTAAACGAGTAATATATTGGAGCCTTAAGGCTATAATTAAATACACATGTTAATTGTTATAATTATGGTGTTATATTGTGGAAACTTCAATTGTTCTTCAGCATCTTTTGAAAACTAGATATAACTACAACTTAGTCATTAAGTTATTTGCAAACAGCTGAAATGAATCCTTTTATTACCACATACAGTTCTTTAATGTTGATATATGAGATGAAAATATGCACATTGGGTTGAGCTTTACTTATATTAATGTTTAATGATAGTACTAATACAGACCTTCACTTACCTCAATTCTTATTAAGTTTAAGAATGATTTAAATGATCTATCCCAAATATCAGTGTGCTTTTTTCTTAAAACTAATGTATATACAATCCTGAAGATCGTATTTAATACAGTCAGATATCTTGAGTAATTATAGCTTAGAAGTTACAAATAAGCCTACAACTAAGCAAATAGAAAGCATTTCCCCATTTACTGTCGAGGAACATTTGGGATGAGGTAAATAGAGGACTTGTGTTCATTAAAAGAGAAATCTGGAAGTCTGTAGCACTAGATTCTACCTGGAGCTCAGCTGAAGGGTATATTACCAAAGGCAAACCAAATCCATCTTTAGTTCAACTCCTTAATTTGCAAAAAAAAAAAAAATCAACCAATTTGAATTTAATAAGGCAATGCATTGAAGGTCTATCTTTTTCAGGTTTAGTTGCCAGATGCTATATAGGAATTAATTATATTCATATTTAATATAGTACTTTCGATTTTTTTCATAGCAGATTGCAAGTTGTGGTTGTCTTGCCAGTTTCATTTTGAATGCATTTTAATTTTAAACAGCAATTTGTGGGTCACAAGCTGTCATCAGATTAAAATTCATCTCAGTTATCTAATAACATTGTGAGGACTTTCCATTAGAACTGAAACAAACACAGATTTCTTGATCTAAGCCCCTGTGGATGTGGGTAGTTAGAAAGTGAGTAGGTGGGGACACGAAGATCAAGAAGTCACTGATTTCTCGACTTGTTGAATGTCTAAGTTTGTTTCTTTTACAGAAGACTCTCCTCTCGAGATGCAAGGGGACTTTATACAGAAGGGAAATGAATGCTATATATTTAGGCCTTTTTGATTGAAAAGCTAATTGATCCATCTTGGTTATGCCCAGGATACCAGCAACTACTTTATGCTGGTGGAACTGATGACATGTTAGAACCCTTTAGGGACGGGAGAAATTGGCTCAGAAGATGCAGGTGCTGTTCTTAGCTGTACCAGGAACAGCTGACTTCGATATAGTTGCTCTCCTAATGATAAGGAAGCAAATTGTGTTCAACTTGAGTGCCATCTCTGATTTATTTGGTCATGATTGTCTACATCACTATGCAAATATAAATTTTTTAAAAGATTCTGACCCTCCCTGAGTTCTGTTTAACTCAATAGTGCTAAGTATTGGTCTGTGTGTAATGTCTGTGGGAACAGAAAAGGGGAAATGGAGTACAGTACTGTGTAGTTATCATCTCTTGGGGAGATAATCCTAAAAAATTACTGAGCGTGGAGCTCATTTGAGAACCTGGACTCAACTTTGTCCATGGCAGCTTATTTTCATAGATACCCTTAAGAAGAACAGTTATAGTTGCTGTCCATCCAACTGCTTTCCATGCAGGTGAGAAAACTAAGATCCAGTAAATGGTAGATGGTATTTACTTTAAAAAGTAAGATGCTAGTTCACAGCATGGTCAGGATGAAATCATACACTGGTTCTAATACGTGAGACCACCACTGAGTTTGTGGTGAGACCACCACTGAGTTTGTGGTGACACATTATTTTTACTTAACCATCCTCATTCTTTACCCTTTCTGTGAACCAATGTGATACATAAACTCCAGTTGAAAAGACCACTTCAAGGATATTCAGGAAGGCAGCTACAAGCTACCCCAATAATATGGATCCACAGATAGGTTATTTTCTTCAGTGTTTCCTCTCTTTCTTTGCCCCCAAAAAACATGTTTTGTCTCAGGAGATATTTATTTAGTAATATTTTAGTTGCAAAGGAGTGAAGGTCTTGTGATTTCTTAACATTTTGCAAGTGAAACCTTTATTTTTTTCTTAGTGAATGTTTTGCTAAAAACAAACAAACAAAAAAACCCAGAACTGATTTCAGTGCATTACTCTCTCCTCTAGCTCTGGAAAAAGTTCTTTCAAAGTTCCACATCATTCTTACCATCAACCTTGTTAGACGACACAAAGACTGGTATCAGTGTAACTTGTGAAGATGCCACTTCATTCTTGGAGAGGGGCGTGGTCAGTTTCTCACGTCTTTGAGAAGGAAGGCTTTCTATGATGGGACCCAGAGGATCAGGAAGGTCATTTGTAGAAGCATCACCCTCAAAAGAAAGGGTAGAATGATAGCAGAAGGATATGATATTCTTTAATATTAAGATGCCTTTTCTCAATGAAGAGTCCCTTAAAATTTCAGAAGCAGTTTTTCTCTGTTCAGAATCACTCAACACAGTCCTTACAATGGCCTGGGTCCAGCTGTATTTCCTGTCCCCATTCTCTCTCTGATGTCATCTCTCACTCCTCTCCTCGTTTATTTTACTCACCTGCCAAGTTGTTGTTCTTTCTGTTCTAAGGAGATGCCAAGCACTTGTCTACCTTGTGTGTTGTGCTTTTGTCTTTGCCCGAGACACCCTTTCATTACGTACCTCCATGGCTTAACCCTTCCATTTTAGTTGTTATTCAGAGATGCTACTCTCTGCGAGGCCTTCGCTGACTCTCCTATTTAATATTTCACCTCCCCACCCAAATTCCAATATCCCTTTCCTACTTAATTTTTCCCCAGAGGTCTTTCACCCCCCACCACACCCAATATTCTACTTATTTGTTTTGTTTATAGTGATTCTTCTTCTACCCATTAAAATATAAGTTCCTTGAAGGCACAGCTATTTGTCTATTTTGTTTAATACTGTATCTATTGCAGATCCTGCCCAGCCTAGCATCTGAGGGCATAGTCTGGCAGAAAGCCTACTAAAGATTAAATAAATATATTGTTGAATAAATAAAAGCAACTCAGTGATATCTCTTATCTTTTCTTTTCACATTTAATTACTTCTTGGTACCTGTGTGAGACACTTAAACCATTTCCAGAATGAACTTCAATGGAACTCATTTATCCAAAACTCAAGTTGTCCCCCTGGAGGTTTGCATGCCCGGGGACATACTATCCTAAACAGACTTTGCTCCTAATGTGAACTGAAGGGTCAAAAGGGATGGGCTTGCAAGAGACCACAACTACCAATCAACTCAGTGGCGAAGTCCTTCGAACTGATTACCAGACCCACAGCCCAAATGCCTGCTGGTTGGCTATACTTTTACTTCTCAGTAAAATGCTTTGCATGTGTAGGAATGGCTATAGTAATATGAAAGGATTCATACAACTGGTTGACAAGTAGGTTTGAGGCACTTAAACGGTCTGTCTCTTTAGTTAGCATTTAAGGCACAGGTGTAAGTAGTGGAAGTACATTGGAGAGCACACATTTCTAGCACCATGGAATTGTATATTCTACTGGGGATCACACCATGGCAAGCCTCTTATAAAATCTCTGGGGTGCATTATCCATTCACCCTCTCATCTTTGTTTCTCATCTCTTTCTTTATCAACTCCAGTCTTCATCCTGTCATCTTACTCTCGAACATAATTAAGGTGACAAGCTGTCATCTTCTTCTTACCAATAAATATTTACAGCATTTACCAAATGATCTCTTT